CATCTTACACCCCTGGCATTCCCACACAGCCACGAGTGTGTCCTGTCTCCACACTAGTGAGGCCTTAAATACCTCAGGTGAGTGTTTCACACATCTCTCTGCCAAGGTTGTTCTCATTATACCCCCTTCCTTTGGGGCTGGTTTCAGTCCTATAATGTTCAGCCCTCCTATCATGTTCATAAGTGCCACTGGACACCTCCAGCAAGTTCCCCAACTTCCTAAGTGACCTGCCAGCTCCACGAGCTCAATGGTACCTTCAGGAAGACCAACACTCTCCCCAAAGCAAGGGTGGGTGTCCGACCTCTGCCAGCTGCTGGGATGAGGTGGGACAGGGTTTGGAGCAACTTTGGTCTAGTGGAAGGTGTCCCTGCCCATGGCAGGGGGTTGGAACAAGATAATCCTTAAGGTCTCTTCCAACCCAAACCACTCTGTGATTCCATGGGATAGCCCCCTGGGAGCAGACACCTGAGCTGTGCCCATGTTCAAGGCCAATCACGTCAGTGCAGAGAGGGAGGCTCTGACCTGCCAGGGAGGACACGAGCAGGATGCTCAGCACTGTCCAGCCCATCACAAGCACCATCCTTAAACCACAGAGACCCTGCCCCACTTTTTGTGCTCAACCCCACCCAAACAGTCCCATTTTGGGAGGATCCAGAAGCAGCCCGGCAAGTGCTGCGAGCCTGGGAGCACGTCACCATGGATCACACCAACCTCCTGGTGCCAGCTGGGGCAGGGAGAGCCGTGTCCCCAGTGCCAACCCAGGGCACTCACCAGCATTCATCTCCCTGAACTTCTGCTTCAGAGCCCGTGGGGTGAGGCGGTACTGGTCCAGCCCATCGTTCCACTTGATCTTCTCCAGGACAAGGAGGTCTCCACCAACCAGCCAGTCTCCACTCTCCATCACCATCTGTGAATGACACACACATGCAGTGCAGAGGGGGCAGCAAGTACATCCTTCTCCCTCTCCCACTCTCCTTTGGTAAGTGTTAGGCCTGACTCAGCTGGTGGGGTGATCTTCCCTTCTCCTTCAGCACGTTGTAGGCAGAAAACATCCTTACAGTGACCACAGGAATTGAATGTCATGAGCAGCACAAGGCATCAGCCACCCAGTCCCCACCACTGCACCCAGCTGGGTGCTGCACTCTGGCAGCCAGGAGTCTACAAGGTATGGCATAAGACCTTCCTCCACCTCGCTCTTTGCTCTTTCCTCCTGGGAATATGCAGGTGGAATATGGCTGTTGCACAGTGAACACCTGCTGCTGGTTCATTACAAAGAGGTGTTTTAAGGGAGCAGGAAAGGACTAACACAGCTTTAGCCTTTCTAAGCAGAGTCACAAGTTCTGACAGCTCAAGTCACTGGGTGGCACCCAGAGCTCTCCCTTTCTGAGGGATGAAGTTCCCTTGTACTGCCAGAGAGCAAGTGGGAAGAGAGGAGCCGTAAAAACATGACACCCCTGTTGGCTGCTTGTACAGAACAGCCAAATTGAGGAGCACTAACTCATTAGCCTGAAATTTCACAGAATATTCTGAAATGGAAGGGACCCACCAGGACCAGAGTCCAACTCTTCAGTCCTGCCTGCTCGGGATGCGATGATTCCCAGCAGGAAGCTGGGCAAACAGGAAACCCGTGGCCCTCAAACCCTGGGAAAGGTTCGGTTCCCCAGCCCCTGCCTGCATCTGCCCCCCCATCCAGGCTTCCCAGGGCAGCGGGGGGACAACCCTCACCTGGATGTGGGGGTGCCTGGGGCAGGTGGTGCCCCAGACACGGGCACAGCGCTCCTCCTTCCTGTGCTGGAAGAACTCGGGGCTCCTGAGCACGGCCACCCTGCGGCCCTGGAAGCTGAGCGCCAGCGCCTCGCAGCCCTCCAGCCGCTGCTTGTCCTCCTCTGACACCGGCAGCACGATGGGGATGCTCAGGTTCACCACACCATCTGCCAAGAGAGGGGCACAACTTTACCACCCTCCAGCCCCGGGGCTCGGGGACACAGGAAAAGGAGGTTTCCACGGAAGTTAAGTCGGGGTGCCGGTTTCTCTTTGGCACTGCCGGTAAGTTGTGATGTCAGTGGGATACAAAAGCTCCTTATCCCAGGGACACAGATGTCTCCGAGACACCTGGAGCATCTCATTACTTTCTGCACTCCTGCTCTTCCCCTGGTTCTTCTCCGTTAGTTGTAAAGGTGACGAATGTAAACGTGCTTGGAAAACGCAGCCCTGGATGTAACTCCTGCCTCTCCTCTGGGAGAACCACCTCCGTGGAGATGGCGTTCCCTGGAGCATCCCATTCCCTGCACACCTCCTGAGCTGCCTCTTCCAGCAGGGAGAACACCACCACACTTGGTTTCTTTGGGTTTTTTTCCTGGATATCTCGATACTGCTACTCCCCCTCCCTGACATCTCTGCACTGTCCATGTTTAATCCGTGTCTGTACAGCAAGTCTGTATCTGCACATGCACTTCCTAATTTCGGTGCTGTCCCTAAACACCTTGAAATCATGTTGGTTTTATCCCCGCTCCCCCACTTTCCCAGTCCTCCACTAAAGCCCTCCCATTTCTCCTTGGATAATTCCAGTGTTAACACAGAAGAATCAGTCCCTCCCGTGAGTTTCCAGTCACAAACAAATCACTGATTCACTTCGTTCTGATCCGACTGAAATCAGTTTGGACCCCTGAGAGTCTTAATTTGGGCATTTTGACTAGGCTGTAGATTTTTTAATCCTTATTAAAATATTTGCATTTACTTTTAATTCACAGCCGGGTATCATTCGTCTGCCAGGCAGCAATTTTCATGAATAATCAGAATTACAGTCACACGGGATCCAATCAATATCAGCTTCATACATTCAAATCACATTAACACTGATCAGTCAATGAAGTCAGCACGGGAAAAACAAAAAGCTGGATTATGAAACCAACCAATGACGCTGAAAGGGAGGATATTCAGGCTCTATTTCCCAATGCAAGATGGAGATTTAACAAAAGATCACCCCAGTGATGGTAATCACAGAACTGCACAGCTGGGATGTTTGTGGTCTGGAGGACATGGGATGTGTCAGGCCACGGTTAATAATTTCCTTTTTTTTTAATAAATCTCAAAAAATTACAGCAAAAAAATCTCAATTGCAGTAATTTGTGTTCAGTCTAAGGACAGTTACATACATACCAGCTACCAAGCGACTCCTTCCTGCGAGAACACAAACACAATTAAGATAATTAACACTCACAGGCACGTTATGGAAACCACTGCAAGAACCAAAGCATTTCAAACCTCAGCCAAGCACCTCCTGAGCACGGGCCTGACAGTGTGGCCGTGGTCCTCCAGGGTGCCACCCCAACCTCTCTGGTGCTCCCCCATCCAACACGGGTCACAGTGGCCAGGAGTGAGGCACAACACCTCTGCTGTCACTACCACCCCCTCCTGACAGGGCAGAGGGCGGAGCACTGGAGACTCCACAGCTCTCCTGCAGATTCACCTCCTCCCTGGTGGCCACCACGGCCCTGCACAGAGCTCACCATGCATCCAGCTGCTGGGATGTCACGGTGGGATTGACTACTCCAAGGCTGAGCAAGTAGAGCATTAACTTGAACAAGTCCCCCAAAACAGTTGCTGGAGCTGCTGAAAACATCCCTCACACCCCGGGGCACAAGGGCTGGACTGACTCGGGAAGGACCAGCCTCAAACCCCTCTTAAGCAGTGCAGTTCTCAGCACCATGAGGTGGAACCTTCCACCATTTCCTAAGGCTCATCCAGGAGTGCCTGGGATGTTCTCCTTCCTGCCCAGATGTCACCCTGAGGGCCTGACCATGCAGATGTTGAGCTTGGAGACCTCCATGGAGACGAGGTGGAGCAGGGACTGACACTGATGCTCTCTGCTGCAAAGACCTCGCTCTAAAGAGTTCATCCCCCTGCAAAGCTGCTGTCCTGGCTTTGTCCCTGACCCCACAGAGCTCCACAAATCCTGAACACATGCCCACAGAGCTCAGTGATGCCTGCAGGGGTGGGGGGGCACCCCAAAACCAGACGCTCTCCGAGACGAGCCTCCGGCGCAAAGTACGGAGCTCTGAAGCAACGTGGTCATCAAGGGGCACCTCTGTGACCCTGTCAGGCACAGCAGGCAGCTCAAAGACCACAGAGCAGGCTCTGATAACAAGGACATGTGCTGCTGAACACTGTCTGCACCCTGGGAAGGAGGTGAAAGGCTACGACTGAGAGCAGAAGCCCCCACCCAGACACTCCTCCAGTCCAAAGGGAGCAGCCCTGGGCTTTGCCTCTGCTGCACGGTGCCCAAATCCTAAAAACAGCAGGGAGTCACTGCTCCAGCTGACCATGGGATCTTCTAGAGGGAAGGCCAGGCTCAAAGGCTCACCAAGATCCCAGATCCCTGAGGGCAGAGGTCACTACCAGGTCTACAAACCCCTAAGTGAGGTCACAGTGACAGCATCTACAGTTGAGACACCGGATGGGAACATCCATGCCCCTCTGTCAGCTGTGGATGATCACAACCTGAGTACTCCTTGCCTTTTCCAGGGATGGAGCACATGCTGCTAATGGATAGAGAAATCTGATTTGTCTCAAGTTACCGTATTGGATAAGCAGGAAAGTGGGGTGGGGGGAGAAAAATCAGGCTCTGCTCCTGTTTCCAAGGAACAGGTGCCTTCTCCTCCCACCTCCAAGCTCAGCCTGGCCTAGGGGTTGCATCTCTATTTACCCTGGTATAACCAAGCATGGAAAGAGCTACACAGGGGTTCCTGAAATGCCTGAAGGGTGTCAGAGCTGTGAGCCAGGGCCTTGACCTCGGCCACCTTCAGGAGCCCCTGCATTTAACACAGGAGAGGAAAGCAGGAGGGCAGAGCCGAGCATGAAGGTGCTCTGTGGGGTGAGAATGCCATCCCACAGTGGCTCCTGGGCCAGCATTGCTGCAGGGAGTGGGGATCCATACCGTTGAGCAGGGTGCCAAAGTGGAGCACTTGCAGGTACTCTGCCTCACGCATGAAGCCCTTCAGCGGAGTGGCCCAGCCTTCGCTCAGCACCTGCACCCACTGCAGATCCAGCTGCAAAACAAACCCACAGGGCACTCCTGTCACACTCCTGCAGGGTCACAGAATGGGTTGGGATGGGAGGGACCTTAAAGCTCATCTAGCTCCACCCCCTGCCATGGACAGGGACACCTCCCACTAGCCCAGGTTGCTCCAAGCCCTGTCCAACCTGGCCTTGGACACTTCCAGGGATCCAGGGGCAGCAACAGCTTCTCTGGGCAACCTGGGCCAGGGCCTCCCCACCCTCACAGGGAAGGATTTCTTCCTAATATCCAACCTGTCAGTGTGAACTTGTGGGGTTGTATTAACACCACAAAGGGGACTGGCAGCCCTGACTTCCACCAGCACAGGGCGGAGACACAGCAGAAAACAGCTGAGGGTCAGGATCACACCTCAGCTCACCACAACCCACAGCCAGAAAGGGACATGGCCATCACAGGAACACAGGCCCCTCTGGCAACACTCCCCTGGAAGCTTCTACCTGTGGAACAGCTAAAGAATGACAGAACCCATGACAGCACCTTAGTGATCTCCACGGATGGCAGCTTCTCTGCCTCAGCTCGGACACTGCTGAGCTTATTTTCAGGCACAAACAGCTCAAGAACGTCCTTAATTGAGCCCCAGGGAACGATATTCTGAAAGGCAGAGAAGAGACAGCACTTGTAAGAAACATACTGGTTTTTATGTGCACATCAAAAAGCCCATGTCCCAAAGCAGGATTCCAGATCTGCTGGTGACAGTGGCATAAAAATGACCTACCTGTGCTTGGAGGAGCTCCACAACCTGCTGGATACATTCAGACACTGATGCAACGTTCGTTTTCAGCACTAGTTCAGGAGCTTCAGGTTTCTCGTACTCTGAGTCAATCCCTGTGAATCCTGCGGACAATTAAGCCCCAAATTCAATTTATTTAATATAATACTCGGCGCCCCAGAGCCAACAACGCTGTACAAACAACCAGCAGGCATTCAACCATGCTGGGTATGACAAGTGACACTTGTGACAGCAAGATTAGGGAAACAGGATCCTCTTGTGCTCCACAAAGAGCCTTTAGAAACCCACCTCTACGTGCAACGAGGTGTCCAATGCTTTGGAAAGTAAAGGCAAAATAAGACCTCGCTCCTCCATACCTTTGATCTCTCCAGCTCTTGCCTTTTTGTACAGGCCCTTCACATCTCTGCTTTCACAGATATTTAAAGGAGCATCTACGAAGATTTCAAAGAAAGGAAGTCCAGCTGCCTCGTGAATTTTCCGTGCATTTTGCCGATCCTGTTAGAAGACAGATGGAAAAATCCTGTGTGTCCAAACTGCAGCAAGCACCTTCCTGCTACATGATGTGTCCTGGAATTTGACACAGGCAAATGTGTCTCTGCTACAGATTTATTAAATTTACACTAATTTGAATAAGGGTTTTTCATCTCCCTTCCCTCCTTTTCTTTAAAGAGAGTGGAAAAAAAAATGGTACAAATCTACAAGCTCGTTCTGTTTTCAGCTTTTTCCATCCAAAACCTCAAGATCTTTTCGTGAAGCAGGACAGCAGAACTTCAGATTGTGAATAATTATCTGCCCTGTGCCAAAAAACAGCCGGACTTGACGATCTTAGAGCTCTTTTCCAACCTCTTATGATTCTGTGATTCTATGAAAAAAGGAACTGCTTGCAGCAGCTTGACAACAGCAGCTACTCAGTCCTCTCAGGAAGCAAAAAACCCCACAATCACATCATCTTCCAGATGAGCAGAGATAGCTCTAGGATAGGCTATTGCTTCTGTGCCTCTTTTCTGCCTTCTGCAGGGAGATTTTAAACCCCTCTTAGCTCTTCATCAATCTGTACCACGGAATACCTTCAAGGAGGTCACGTCAAACCGCCCCCCTAACACCGGTACCGACGGGGGGCAGCTGCCTGACGAGGGAAGAGAGCACAAGTGGGCAGAAGCATCGTTTGGGAAGCGCTCTGTGCAAACCTCCCTCCCCCAGGAACGACCCCGGGGCGGAGGGCAGGGCAGGGCAGGCCGTGCTGCGGGGAGGTACCTTGGTGAAAGGAGAGATGAAGCTGGTGATGCAGACGAGCCCCGCGTCGGCGAAGAGCCGGGCGACCTCGGCGATGCGCCGGATGTTCTCCTCGCGGTCCGACGCCGAGAAACCCAGGTTCTTGTTCAAGCCGTGCCGGACGTTGTCGCCGTCCAGGGAGTAGCAAGGGATGCCATGGGAGACCAAGTACTCTTCCAGGGCAAAGCCAATGGTTGTCTTGCCGGCTCCAGAAAGGCCTGTTGGAGACAGAGCAGCGAGGGTCAGGCGTGAGGGCGTAATGCGAGACCTCCTGGGACACCGGCAGTGAGACTCCTTCTGTCTGAAGTTGCTTCAGGAAGGAGTGAGGAAGGGAAGTTGGATTCATCTTTTTAGCACGTCTGGGTCAGCCCTTCTTATTAATCACAGAATCACAGAATCAGCTGGGTTGGAAGAGACCTTCAAGATCATCAAGTCCAACCCTTGATCCAACCCCACCATAGTTCCCAGCCCATGGCACTGATGGCACATCCAGTCTGTCCTTAAACACCTCCAGGGACGGTGACTCCACCCCCTCCCTGGGCAGCCCATTCCAATGGCTGACTACCCCCTCTGTAAAGAATTTCTTCCTAATATCCAACCTAAACCTCCCCTGGCACAGCTGAAGACTGAGCCCCCTTGTCTTGCCATGAGGAAAGCTGCTACATCCCAACGTCTGGAGGGGCTCAACCCAGCAGTGCTCCAAAAGCACCTCTTGCCGGGCCGTGGTGGGACAAATAGGCACCAGGAAGTAGGGGAAGTTTGGAAGGGTGCTGTTGCCTCCTCTTCCTCCTTCTGTTCCCACTGAGAGCCAACTGCTCTTCCAGATTGAACCCAAGGAAAGGCTCTTGTGGTAACTGTGTGGGGTGGGACAGGCCCCAGCACCAATGGCCCCCTCTGCATCCACAGACACTCCTTCTCCAGGTGCATATTTCAAAGAATAATCACAATCCAGAGAAGCTCAAACCTTTCAGACACAAGATTTTTTGTGTGATACTCGAAAGAGAAGGAAATTGCCTTGGACAGGTTTTTTGAAATTGAAGTTGAAGAGAACAAAACAGAAATGTGTTGTAATCCAACATCTACCACCTAAACTGACAGGAAGGCAAATCAGAATGGCTTTACAAACCCTCCCAAGCACGTCCTTCAACATCCTCCCATCAACTAAAATGCCAATATTTAATAAACAAAGGAACAACTGGACAAGTGGCAAAAGACAGAGTTGTCTAAATATTAGAAATGAGAAATGCCATTGTCACTTCCAGCAGCCCCTAATCCCCAAACAATGAGTTTATATTTCAAAGCAGAGGAGAAGGGCAACAAAACACAAGCAAGGAATTGCTTCCAGTGCGACTGGCTGGGAGTATTTACTCTCCAGACAAGGTGACTGCCTTGTGCTGCCTTAAACACAGCAAACCTGCATGTCCCAATAAACTTCCCACCGCCCCTGAGTGAAAACATCCGCATTTTGGACAGCCTTGGGCACGTTTCACTGCCAAGGACTGGCTGGGTTTGAGCCAAGGCTTCCTCAGCTACACGCTTGGGAACAACAAGTGCTCCCCTTAGGGCCTCTGACGTGTTCAAAGGAGCCTGATAGCAGCTGGGAAATTCATCAAAACACCAGTTCTGGGCAGCAGCTGCCAGGGAGAACATCTTGCTGCGCCAGCACCGCGTGTCTGCGTTTCCCACGTGTGAATGTTTTGCAATTCCCAGCTCCCAAGGAATGCTGACGTTTCCTGCGGATCCCGGATCCCCACCTCCGAGCCGTGCTCATGCAGGGAGTTTCACAGGGGACGCCACGCTCTCACACCCAGCTGAAAATACCTGTCAGCCAAACGGTGCAGCCTCGAAATCCTCCTCTGGTACCCACAACTTGTCCTCTCTTACTCCTGCTCACATGGTGGGCTTGGTAAACCACGTTGGTCGATCCCTGAGGAAAACAAAGCAAAGCATTTTCGCACCGAGAGCAACAAAGAAAATCTCTGCTGGGACTGACAGATGGGAGAAAACGCAAATTCATTAACGAGCCACGCAGCAAACTTTGGTGTAAGTTGGATTTGTGTCCCAGCAGCACAGAGTGATCTGTTGAAGGCTCTCTGCCTGTGCCCAGAGTGCTCCTGGTGGCAATGCCTCGGTGCTGCCAGGGAGGGGAGGGAGGACACGGAGCCCAGGCACAGAGACACCCCCCACCTTTTCCACATTTTAAAACACAGACAGACTCGCCTATGATTTTAATTGTGCTTGCAAAACAAGGGCAACTTCAGGTGCTCGTTCACCTGCTGTGTTTGGCAGAATTTGGCTGTTAATAACTGGGGCAGGAGACGGTGACACGGCAGCGCCGAGCTGAGCAACGCTGGGAACACACGGCCATGGGAGGCAGGGGAACAGCACCTGAGGGGTTTGTGGGCACTTCCCAGAGCAAACAAGGGACTGGCACAACGCCGAGCCACAGGCCTGAATTTTGGTGCTTCCTAATGTTGCCCACCCTGGCCTCTCCCCTGGATGTGGATGGAACAGCCTGTCTGTGCCCTGCAGCTCCAGCAACGGCAGCTCAACAAGGAATTGTGCACATAAAGTATCTGCAAGACCTTACTCATTGCAAGGATCATCTTTCCAACTGAGGTATCAAAAGGAAAATAGCAGGAAGGAACAAGGATATAAATATATCCTGGAGAAAGATGTATGTTGGAGAAGCGAAGGTTGTGTGGAGACCACACAGCACCTTCCAGGATCTGAAGGGACCGAGAGGGGAGGCCAGAGAGGGGCTGTTCATCAGGAACTGGAGTGCCAGGACAAGGGGGAATGGTTTCCCACTGCCAGAGAGCAGGGTTAGATGGGATACTGGGAAGGAATTCTTCCCTGTGAGGGTGGGGAGGCCCTGGCACAGGTTGCCCAGAGAAGCTGTGGCTGCCCCTGGATCCCTGGAAGTGTCCAAGGCCAGGCTGGATGGAGCTCTGAGCAACCTGGAAAGTGTCCCTGCCCATGGCAGGGGGTGGAACTGGATGAGCTTTAAGGTCCCTTCCAAGCCAAACCATTCTGGGACTTGCTGAAAAACTTAAACCAGCTCTAGACCTGCCCCTGAAAAAGCGAGTGAACACTGCACATCCTGTGACTCAGAGAGTAAAAGATAAGTAGCTCAAGATCTGGTTTTTGTGGTTTGTTCTGTTCTGCTGTTTTTCGTGGGGGGTTTTTTGCAGGGGGGTTGTCAAAAGTCGGAACATTTTTTGAGCTTGCAAAGGTGAGGCAGCAACACCACAGTTTCATTTTCACCTGTCCCTGGGGCTCAGGCTCCAGCAGAGAGACCAAACGACTGATGTGAACGAGCAAGACTGATATTCCAGCGTGGAGAAACGAACCTGCACACTTCCAATCTCTCTTTTGCATCAGCAGGGACTCCAGCCTTTGCAAAGTGTTGATGTGCTGGCTGTGTCCTGCAGGAGATGAGCCCCGATACTGCGGGCAGGTGCAGGATCTGACACATTCCTCCGGGGCTGACGTAACAAGGCTGTTGTGAGTACAAGCTGCTGTGCCAGAAATCTGCGCTGTGAGCACATCTCAGAGCTGCTGTTTTGCACACTGGCATCTTTTGGGAGCTTGGGGAGGCATCACTGAGGACATTTTTGCAGTTCAGCAGCACTGTCAGACCTCTCCTTCCTACCAGGAGCTCCAGGTGGTACCAAGCCCTCAGATTTTCCGGCTCTGTTAATAATTGTCCTGGGAAACTCTTCCTAACCCTGAGCAACTGGATGGCTGGGCTGGAGGCTTTTCCTTGGCTGGGAAAGGGCTGTTCAGTGGGAAACATGGACTTCCCACTTCATAATTCAGCAGCCCCGACGTGGCTTGGGAAGCCAGAGCTGAAACAAGACGGAAGGGAGTGAAGGCACCAGGAAAAATAAGCATCAATGGCCTGAGAGCAAATCCTGGAGAGATTTCACCCAGGAAGGGTACATCCTGCAAGACGGTTGGGAGGCAGAGAGAAGGGATGAACAGGGTTTAATCAGATGCAGGGCTGTCCTACTGATTTTATTCTCAGGGTTTTAACCTTGCCACCATAAATCAAACATATTTAAACAATCAATCCAATCATCATCACAACACTTACACCTGCATTTTGGGCCCTACAGCAGGGACAATTTAGGGACACTGGTCAGCATGTCTTGGAATAGTCTAGATCAAGGAAGTGAGGTTTGGGAGAGGAACTTCTTACCTATAATTCAGTCCCAAAAAAGGCAATAAGTGATCCAGCAGGTCTCCAAAGAAGAGCTGTGCAGCCTTTGCCAGACAGATGGTTAAAGAGGACACTGCCACACTCTCCCCTTTCCTTGAAAAACTGCAGTTTGGCCCTGTCTGGATGATGTCAGTGCTCAGCCCACCCCATCTTAGCTCATCCAGGAAATTGGGAAAAAATAAAGACATAAAGGCATCACTCCAAACCTTGTAACTGAGGCTGCAGCGGACCAAGAAACCAAATCTGAACTCTGCTTTTGGTCTTCCCTCCTATTGAACCCTTCCATGGGGTTGGCAAATTGGGAGACACCAAGATCTCGGCTCTTTAAGATCAGGTTTAACTAAGCTACCTGCCAAGTGTCTCCTCACCTGGTTTCCAAAGCAAACAAGCTTTTCATCAACCATCCTGATGGGACAAGATGTTCCCCTGCTTTGTGAAAGCAGGTTGCAGGCAGAGCCAGGAGGTTTTTCCTTAGTGCTCCTCCTGAATAAAGAGATGGGAGCTCTAAGACAAGAGAGTCTTCTTGGAAATCAGGAACCATCAGTGCCCTCTGCTCCAATTCAGTGTCCAGAAAAGTGACCTCAGCTCTTCCTGAAGTACTTGGCCTGGAAGGGAGTAGCTGTCCTTGCCCACAAAGGTTGTGTGTGACTGTT